ATTAAGCGTGAAATGCCCAAATACACCGTCGCAAACTTATCTACGGGGCAAAAAAGTGGAAAAAAGGAAGTAGACTGGGTTGGAGAAGGGCTAGATCTCACTTAACATTGTCAAACTACCATGAACGGGAGTAGTTAATCTTGAAAAGGTCTTGTCAACCCCAACTTATCATGGCAATCATCATTATATCATAGTCGTCATCACCATCATCTCATCCTTCGGGCCTAATTAGAGGTGGCATCGTAAAGGCAGAGGCGTGGGGGTGTTCGATGGGGGGTGGGGGTGGGGGAGAAAAGATGGTAGTAATGATCCCTTTTAGTCTAGGGTAATATTCGTCATGGCAACATGTGTAGCTAAGGTTGGGACAAGGAGGATAGATAAGAAGGGAAGTTGGGAGGGGAGCGAGAGAGAGACAGAGAGCTAATGAACTCGCGCATTAGTAATACAAGAAGGAAGAACTATCTGTGATTACATCTACTACCGATGGCAGGCCTAATTATTGAGAATCCTTACAACAAGACTAATTACTGCTCTATTGTATGATCTGCAGTTTGGCTTCTTTTTTGGGTATTTCTATTCTGCCTTCTTCACTGTTTATGTCAAGCAGAGGAGTGTTGTTGTGGCATCGTCCCACTACCTGTATGAGTACACAATACACGCGTGATGAGACCTCCCTGACACCGTTTACGAGTCTCGCAAACTTGACGGAATTGTGAGGGAAGACACTGGAGGGATGCAGAGGTCATAGGCCTGCCAGACCATTGACTGTCGCAGTCCTGATGAAGTTACAACATGCCAGGACGCTTCCTTCACTCCTTCCTTTGCCCTGTTACCAGACACGATGGCAACTTTTCACTTTTATTTAGCCTGCGATGTAACCCATCCCTACTAGAGCCCTTTAGCACTGATAATGAAGGAAGATTGGCTGTCTCTGGAGTAGCTTTTTGTTTAATCATTGCTTATATTTTCAATAAGTGCGGTATCAATGGATTTGCAGTAGGTACTATCGATGGAAGCGGATGGAGGCAGCTACAATCCGTTCACTCATCATCCCTGATGGCAACAAGCCCCACCAAGAGGAGGCAGTAGTCAATCCGGGTAATGTATCAGTATAATCCCTCCATATGCTCTGTTTCCCATCAAATATTTTATTTGAACACCAGATTGACTCATCGTCCGCTCTAATGTTTGCCAGTGAGCACAGAATTGTAACAGCTTTGTGTCCATCTTCAAAACCTTTTAACTCTCTGCAAGTTCTATTTCACGACTGGAGAGTCGCATCGGTGGTGAGAGATCAGCAATATTAAAGAGGAATGACAAAATGCCATGTGGATGTCCCCTAAGAAATTGGTAATGCCTTCAAAATTGTGACCTATACTACAGCCTATGGCTGAGAAAGTACAATTAAACTTTGGGACAGGCAATAATTGGTAAAGTAAATGGAATTGTTGTGGAGCGTCAAGTAGCCTTTAGCGCATTAACAAGTCACTGAATACCGACTCTGTTATTAGCTAACAACGACAACACGGATGTTGTGGTTTGCCTTTTTGGCTTGTGCGAGTTGTTGTAGCACTTTGACAACGTTTTGGCGTGTAATGCTGACCAGTGATCTATGGAGAGGAGGAAGGGGGGAGGGGAGGGGATCAGGACTTAACAAAGACGGAAGGCTTCACGTCACCAGTGTTAACGGTGACTGCAACCACCTCACAACCTCTAACACGAAGGAGCCTCAAAGGCGACACTGTGATTAATTATGCAAACACAGTGGTGGTATTTAATTAGCCTGAAACAAGTTCGAAATCCGCGCCTGTTGCCACGGTAACGAATGAGGCCCCACCAAATTTTAATCACAATTCTCACAACATCAAGATCCCATCCAATTAAACCCCTAGTTCTCCGTATTTTCTCCCCCGTCCCTCAACGCCACCTCACACCCTCCATCCGCCCCCCCCCCTACCCATTCCCCCTCCCTTCGCCAACCCCGCCAGCTCCTCCTCGGCTTCAAAAGTAACTGCAGCTTGACACATCCCTTGTGACAGCGATTGCAATTACTTGAAGCGCCAGTGGAAACGCACGCCTACACGTGCGCACCCGCGTGTGTTTACGTGGGTAATTTAGTTGGCCATCGGGGCCCAATGGGAGCACGATGAGGTGAGCACAATCGCGCAAATTGCACTTCAACACAGCAATCAACCAAATGGCTGGCAGGCCTTTTTCCACGGCTCTAGCAGCTACTGCAGCGACAACGACAACTCAATTATCCTTATTGAAACGGGTGACTTTGGAGGCTCTAAGACGTTTAGGTAAATTAACTTAACCCACTTCTCCCCACTGGCCACAAAAATATGCAAATAAATTGGAAGGAAAGAAACAGAGGTGAGAAGCAGGAGTTGGATATTTATTTACACCGGATGGATGCCATGAAAGTGAATGAAGGGAAGTAGAAAATGTAAAATTCAAAGGGTCTGGGAAGAATATCACAGTTGGTCATTAACAATGAACCTGCTGCACCTGCCTACATCTACCTCTCCCTATCTCCGACTTTTTCCACTTCCACTTTGTCGTCGTCTTCGGCTCTAGCAAACCTGTAATGGACAACGCCTTGTATCAACTTTCTGAAAAGAAAAGGCAGGAAGAAAAGAAGTGGACAAAGACAGCATTGACAAGTGCTTGTTTGCTTCATCATTTTGTCTTGAATTTCAAAAGAATAAAAATCTACTCTTTGAAAGATTCTAGATTGCCACTAATGATGGCGATTAGTTTTTTTCTTTCTCTTGCCCCTCTCCTTTCCCTGTGGGCTTTTTTGTCATCGTGGTTGAGGAATGTAGTAACCCAGTCTGTCGGCCAATCCAATGGTCGGAGCTAAAGCCCCTTTTCTTGAAGGCTTCCACAACGGTGACTCTTCTCGCATCTAATTAATAGCCAAACAGATGGACTCAGTCATCTTACGGGTTAATTACACGTCCCACTACAGTATGCAATCTCCAACCCCTTTAATTAGACCCTTCTTCTGCAAACATCCTCCCTCGTCTCGGTTAAGTAGGAGTCGTCTAATTTGCGCAAAAAAAGGAAAAGCTGGTGATGTCGCTAAAATTCGTCTCGTGAAGGCGTTGTGAAACCCACATAGGAGATTAGGCTCTAGGAAATGTTGATGGTGGATTTTTGAACTAATAATTTTAGTCCTGGAAGTTGGCATTGGAGTCGAGAATGGGATGGTAGGTGGCGTGGAAGTGATCGTATGACTAGAGGGTGGGCAGAAACCTCCTCCTTCCTTCCATCCATCCATCCATCCATCAATTTTTGCTTCCTCAACATGATGTTGTGCCAGGAATTGGCCTTATTACTCATCAAGATGGACTGGCGAGTGGGCAACTACTATGAAGCAAGTGGAAGCCTTGAATGCATTCTCCATTCGGTCAAGCCATTGTGGTTGAACTCACCAGCTTAATCATCAGGATTGAGTGGAATTTTGGAATTTCTTTTTTGCTTCAACTAGTACAAAAGGCACCTTCATTCACTTACTCGTTGTCGCGGTGTCACTCGACCGCTGGTCGAGTTGGAGGGAGCCTCTTGATTGCCACAAAAAACCGGACTTCCAAGTCCACCTGGAGCAAAAATTGGTGGAGTCATGACAGGTGGTGGTATGTCTGTGGAAGCCGACGATATTTGGGACGGCTGAGTTGGTGCAGGTGGTGGAGGAGGAGGAGGCGGAGGAGGCGGTGGTGTTGTGCCTTGGAGTAGTCTTCCAAATTCATGTTCACAGAATGGACTGCCATTTACCAAAAGGTACCGCTCGCCTGGCAACAATGGACTGTGACAATGTGCACAAGTGAAGCACTTCAGGTGGTAGACACTGCCATTGCAACGCATCACCATCTCATCGGGTGGAATTGCTGTCTGACAGGCACTGCATATTCCTGCCACACCAAAGAGTCTACAAGGATCAAACATTTACAAAAATTTACGCCTAGAAAGACTACTAAGGCCTCAACGTTGACAACAAAGAAGTTCACTTCCATTGATGGCTCCGTGTTGCCACTACGGAGATAATTGCCACTACGAGTGGACAGAGAATGACTGACCATCTCATCTGTTGTAACGCTCTGTCTCCAACCCTCTTACAACCTCCATAACATCGTCGTAAAGACCTAATGAAAGAATATTTTATTGACTAAAGGATGGCTTGAAAAACACTCGTGCACTGGATGCAAAGCCATGAAGATTAATGAAGGTGGCGTGAAGTTCAGTTGAGAACGCATCACTTAAGAGTAATGATGAAATACAACGCTAAGGCGGCAGAAAACCTTGTCCATCAGGCGTAAATGGGTAGGGCGATGGACGGAGGGGACAAATGAGAAAAGGGGACAAGGCTAGGCGAGTTGAGCCAAGTCGAGGCGAGGCGGAGACAGAGATAGGCGGCAGGAGAAAGAGGTGGGGAGGCGGAGGAGGGAGACAGTGAGAGGAGAGGAAATAGAGCAACTAATCACTCGGACCCACAGCTTTGCCGTCTAATTAGTTGACAAGGCAGCAATTAGGAGCGCAGAGTTAGTGTAGTTGTTGTAGTAGCAGTAGAAGGAACGAGAATTGAGAGAGGGATAAGTGGAACACGTGACTGTGTCTACATGTCACCGTCTTTATTATTACCTGGAGTATCAATACAACAAATTGGCATTAAAGTACCAATTTTTTTTTTGCTATCGTTCTCCGCCTCATCATCTTCAAACACTACCTTTTTTTGTGAGTCATTTCAAATCAACACGCAAATCAGGTCTCGCG